ACTCAGGGCTACCAACCGGGTACTCAGGGCTACCAACCGGGTACTCAGGACTACCCACCGACCCAGGGTTACCACACTCAGGGTTACGACCAGGGCTACGGACAAGGTTTCAACGACCCAGAGGACGAGGAAGAGCCTCTTTACTCCAACGTGGAGAGCTCGGCCATGAAGTGAGTTCTCTATAGCAAACAAACAAGAGTAGGATTTATTATTTTTTTCTCTTTTTTAATCATTTATTATCCTCCGCACGCCACCTTTCTTCAGGCCCATAATCAGTATCCAGGGCGGGACGAGGGACGAGTATAAATAAATGCGCTTTTGGAATTTATAAATTTTCAGTGTTCGGTCGTTGGTTGCTGAATGAGATGCTATGGCCATGGCTTCGGTTTCAATTGCAGGCAGGAATTAATGATTATCTGCTCATCATGGTGTGAGAAATTATGCATAATTGTAGTGCAAATAATAGATTTGCTGAATTTTAACTGTATTGTAGATGTTGTTGTGGTCAATGAAAACTTACCAAGCATCTTAATCCGAAGACTAGGCTTCATCACCGTATTTGTATGGTACTTGTATGTAATGGTGGTAATTATGTTGCAGGAGCTGTGAGGTTGTTGTGTTGGTTCTTTCTCTCTCTCTCTCTCTCTCTCTCTCTCTCTCTCTCTCTCTCTCTCTCTCTCTCTCTCTCTCTCTCTCTCTCTCTCTCTCTCTCTTCTTTCTCTTTCTCTCTCTCTCTCTCTCTCTCTCTCTCTCTCTCTCTCTCTCTCTCTCTCTCTCTCTCTCTCTCTCTCTCTCTCTCTCTCTCTCTCTCTCTCTCTCTCTCTCTCTCTCTCTCTCTCTCTCTCTCTCTTTCTCTTTCTCTCTCTCTCTCTCTCTTTCTCTCTCTCTCTTTCTCTCTCTCTCTCTGTCTTTTTCTCTCTCTCTCTTTCTTTTTCTAAATATATATATATATTTATTTATTTATAGTTTTGTTTACTCGATTTTCTAGATCATAATTACTGCAATCATCTCTAGAATTCACGATATAGAACCTCAACAATCAAACTGAAAGAGATCATATTATAACTTTAATATTATATTAAATAATATTATAACTGAAAAAGAAATTGTTATATCATACGCATCCAACCTAGAGATTATAAACTGCACTGCCTTAAGCTATTTTAATCTTCATATCGTTTATCTAATATTGTTCAATGTATTTATTGTGAATTTCATCTAATCTGATTTCTTTTTCTATCTCAGACCGCCTGTCGCGCCCCCACGCCCACCGAAGCCGAAGTACTAGGAGACAAAGTGCCAGTTGAGCGAAGATCATAACAATAACAATAACATCTATAACAACTGCAACAATAACATCTGTTAAAACCGCAACAATAACATCTATTAAAACAGCAGCAGAAGTAATAATATATATATAACATTTATAACAACTGCAACAGCAATAACAACTTCAATAGCATCAGCAACAAACAGCATCTATAACAACAACAATAAACAACAACAAACGTAGCAGCAACATTAACAACAATAACAAACAATAACAACAAAATCAACTGCAACAACAACAACAAACCTCTTCATCACCCGGTTGCGGTACAGAAAGAAGAATAACTCGACGAACAGTGAGAAAGTGGAGAGAAGTGATATAGTTGTTGCAATAACAGCGCTGTCGTAACGAACGCCATCTTGTGTCGCGCGTGAGAAATATAATCTCCGGAACAATTTTCTTTTTCTTTACTTGACGAACGATCACGATGAAGGAAATGAGGAACACAGAGGCGGAGGAGAGAGGAAGGAAATCTCCCGAGGCGGTGGAAGGGGAAGCGAATTCGTCTCAAGTGAAACTCACTGACGCAGGTTCGGGTAAGGCAGTCAGCAAGCTAATACTGCGGAAGCTGGAGAGAACAAGCAGCCTGAGCGATAAACCAGATAAGAAGTCGGAGTCTCCTGGCAAAATATCGTGGGTGCGGTCCCTGCGAAGTGTAAAATCGCACTGTGACGAAGATGACTCCTTCACGGGGAGTCAGGCGCTAGACAGTGATCGTTCCAAATCGGCTGACTGTTTGCGAGACGCGGGAGCGGCCACAGGTCAGGAGGACGACCGGCTGAGAGGCAGAGCGATGTCCGACACGTGGCTAGAGAGGTTTGCGCGCCCGAACGTGTTCAGGCGGTCGCAGAAGACCAACTCGCAGGCGGTTGAGGAAACGGCGTCCTTCTGGCAAAGAATCTCGAGCAATCCGAGGGAGTGCTGGGAGGCGATAGTCGGCGTGGTGCGGACTTTCCTCCAGGTCGCGTCCATGTTTTTGGTCGCGTCCTGGCAGAAGTTGGACAACGGCCTTCAGGATATCGCCAGGTCGTTCATGGATGCTTTCCGCCACGCCGTGTCCCTCTGCGTCGACCTCACGCCGAGGAAGACTCTCAAGGCCTTCATGATCCGCGCGTGCCTCCTGCTGCCGGACCTGCGCAACCGCCGCGCCGTAGTGCGATGCCTCCAGAT